GGTTATTTCATCATCTTTGTAATACTATGACTGAAAGGTGAAAGGCCTTAAATGTTTCATCATCCTTGTGTATAGCATTAACATACTGTAAATTATGCCATCTGCAAATGCACCTTAAAGGCCCCAGACTCTGAATACCAATCTTTAGATTCTGTGAATGAACTTCTCATTGATTGGTACCTATTCCAATATTTAAATTTAAACATCAATAGCAATGTAAAAAACTGAAATATTAGAATCGTTATTGTATATTTAGAAAGTGTAAATGTCACACTGTTAACCTTTAGAGGATTTACATTCAAATGTTTTTCCAGTTGTCACAGTAGGGTGTCTGTATGAATGAGAACTTTACTACCTCGTTCCCATGTTATTCACTTCACTTCACTTCACTTCAATGCCTCATTGTCCATTTTTCCATGCATTTCCTCTTTTTTTCTTAATTACTCATATTATTAATTCTTAACCTGTTTCTCAATAGTAAATTTAAATATATTTTTCCGGGTTGATGAGACTACCATACCAGTCAATTGTGACTATATGTATTTTTCAAGCTATTTAATTTCCAATAAAAGCTATTTTTAGCTAATATAGTTACAAATTACATTACAAATTACTATTTCTACTGTGGTGTGGGTGGGTAGGATGAGGTTGTGTGGGTGGGATGGGGTGGTGTGGGTGGGATGGAGTGGTGTGGGTCGGATGGGGTGGTGTGGGTCGGATGGTGTGGGTGGGTAGTTTGGGGTGGGGTGGTGTGGGCGGGATGGGGTGGTGTGGGTCGGATGGGGTGGTGTGGGTAGGATGGGGTGGGTGGGTAGTTTGGGGTGGTGTGGGGTGGGGTGGTGTGGGTCGGATGGGGTGGTGTGGGTAGGATGGTGTGGGTGGGTAGTTTGGGGTGGTGTGGGCGGGATGAGGTGGTGTTGGTGGGATGGGGTGGTGTGGGTAGGATGGTGTGTGGGTGGGATGGGGTGGTGTGGGTGGGATGGGGTGGTGTGGGTGGGTAGGATGGGGTGGTGTGGGTAGGATGGGGTGGTGTGGGTAGGATGGTGTGGTGTGGGTGGGATGGTGTGGGTGGGTGGAATGGGATGGTGTGGGTGGGATGGGGTGGTGTGGGTGGGTAGGATGGGGTGGTGTGGGTAGGATGGGGTGGTGTGGGTAGGATGGTGTGGTGTGGGTGGGATGGTGTGGGTGGGTGGAATGGGGTGGTGTGGGTAGGATGGGGTGGTGTGGGTGGGATAGTGTGGTGTGGGAATGATGGTTGTAATATTTTGTTCGTGTTGATATCAGTTTAAATTGAAAATTGTTTTATAGTGTATGTATTTTATCCTAACAGAAATGAGGGTAAATAGAACCAGTCTAAATTGAAATATTTAAAATGTTTTTAATGTAGAAGTAATAATTTTCACTGAAATTAGTTATTGTATTTTCAGATTTTCCAATAATAAAATAAGTTCTAAAATTTTTGAAATCTTACATATTATTTTCAGATTTCTAATATCGGTAAAAATTATAAAATTAAAACTGATTGAATAGTTTCTCTATATGTTGTTGTGCAGCATGCATTGATTCACAGGCTTCTATCTACAAACACAATACAAATTGATCTACATTATATGGATGTAACAAATTATTTAGAAAAATGAACCCCATATGCATCAGGACTCGTTGTGAGAAAAAAATTAGGGTGCAGAAAAACAGTTAATTTTTTCTGGTCACCAGGCATTGAAACATTGCATCACAGCTTTTTTTGGTGTCAGATTATTAGTGAAATTTTAAAATCAGTTTTTATGAAATATCAAAATAAAAGCACAAATTTAATAATAGAAAAAAAATGAAATTTCACTGTATCTATTTTGGAAAACAAATAGATGGAAACTCTTTTTCTTTTTTCCTGGCATTATACATATGTGCATCATCTGGAAAGCCATTGTACAACAATTGAAAGGATTTATTGATGATTGCATCATATTGTGTACTGTCCATATGTGCACATGTATATGCACAGATGTGAATTAATTGTACACATTATGCTGATTCGTTACTTCACTGTTGACAAGTTTTTACTGCATTATACCTTTGTGAAATGAATTCTATTTGTCACATTGCTTTATGATTTAATATATTTATTACTTTAATATTCATGTTAATATTTATTAGTTAATATGTAAATTTTGAAAACTAAATTTGTCAACAGTAGCCAACTAGTGACAAAACAGTGGCCAAATAGTGGCCAAACAGTAGCCAAGTAATGGTAAAACAGTGGCCAAATAGTGGCCAAACAGTAGCTAAGTAATGGTAAAAGAGTGGCCAAATAGTAGTCAATTAGTGGCCACACAGTAGCCAACTAGTTGCAAAACAGTAGCCAACTAGTAGCAAAACAGTAGCCAACTAGAGGCAAAATAGTAGCCAATTAGTGGCCAAACAGTAGCCAAGTCATGGTAAAACAGTGGCTAAATAGTGGCCAAACAGTAGCCAAATAGTGGCCAAACAGTAGCTAAGTAATGGTAAAAGAGTGGCCAAACAGTAGTCAATTAGTGGCCACACAGTAGCCAACTAGTTGCAAAACAGTAGCCAACTAGTGGCAAAACAGTGACAAAACAGTAGCCAACTAGAGGCAAAATAGTAGCCAATTAGTGGCCAAACAGTAGCCAAGTCATGGTAAAACAGTGGCTAAATAGTGGCCAAACAGTAGCCAAATAGTGGCCAAACAGTAGCTAAGTAATGGTAAAAGAGTGGCCAAACAGTAGTCAATTAGTGGCCACACAGTAGCCAACTAGTTGCAAAACAGTAGCCAACTAGTGGCAAAACAGTAGCCAACTAGAGGCAAAATAGTAGCCAACTAGTGGCAAAACAGTAGCCAACTAGTGGCAAAACAGTAGCCAACTAGAGGCAAAATAGTAGCCAACTAGTGGCAAAACAGTGACAAAACAGTAGCCAAGTCATGGTAAAACAGTGGCTAAATAGTGGCCAGTAACCAATACTGAGTTATCTATATTTTAAGCTGACACTTACCACTGTGAACGCCACCATGGTTTCTAAATCTCAATGTATTTTATTTCAGAATGGACTTGGACAATGTGTTACTGACTGTGGTACTACGATGTATGGTAATACAATTGATAACGTCTGCTTACCCTGTGACACTATGAAATGTGCTACATGTGATAATGCACCTACCAATGATAACTGCACTTCATGTCCAGATGGTCAAGTACTCAAGGTAGATTACATGCACTCATAAAATATATAAAGTGATATTTTTGACTTCTTGTTAAAAACTGCAAGTCCAATTGCTTTGATATTACATATATAGGTACTACATGTGGACCTCTCTCAGGTTAGTTCATTTCATGATATCTTTAATTCTCTAATTTTGATGAATATTTTTGACTCCCATGTGCGAAGCACAAAATGGGAGTCTTTGCAGTTAGTGTGTCTGTATGTGTGTGTGTGTGTGTGTGTGTATGTGTGTATGTGTGTATGTGTGTCCGACTGTTCCACTGCTATCTCAAGAACCATACATCGGTTTTTGATGAAACTTGGTGCATAGATGCTCTGGGCCAATGCGCAGATTTGATTAGTTTTGGTAAAAATCCATGCTCGTTAATTACCTAATTTGCATGATATTAGCTATTT